TTGTATTCGTCCAATGGGAAGTGTGGGGAGAAATTAGTAAACCCGGGTTTATCTACCCAAGTAATACTCAGGTATGTTTACCCGGGTATTACTTGAGTATATCCACCCGGGTAATACCCGGGTGTACTTACCCGAGTAGCTGTAGTCATTACCCGGTTATCCGGTTAACCCGAGTAATACTTGATCCGAGTACAATCACTAGATACATAATAACTGTGGGACAACTACGGGATTTTTTTATTTTATTTTTATAATAGGTATATATTAACTACGGGATAACTTCGGGATAACTGTGGGATTTTTACTCATTTCTATCATTTCGAAAACCGCAAAGAGTATAAAAATAACATTTATTAAGTTTTCAAAATAAGAAATTCAGGTCTATTAAAATTAATATTAGAATTCATTTTACTAATATATTTTATATGCGAATATAAACAATCGTTTGTTAAACTAAGTATTCAAAATAAACACTTCAACACCATGAATGTTTACTACTGCATAAGCGCGTAATAACGCACCCCACATATGTACCAGGGTGAAGTCAAAAAAGTTTTTAGTAGTTGAAACTTTTCCCCAAAATTAGTAATGATAATTCGGATTACCACGCATGCGTATTCCGCAGATGTGTGTTATTACGCGCTTATATGATACTTAAATTCATTTTATTTGGAATAATTTAATGCGTGAATATTTATTGTAGTATTTGAAGTTGGAAATCGGGAATTTCTATCCAAAAGTATGAATCCTACTAAAATCTGCCTACACTCTCTCTTATAATAAGCTCTAACTCTGAACCCGACTATGAGCCAAATTTCCAGCTTTAACTGCGACATTATTTAAGTGCTAAAATAAATAAGCAATTTAAGTCCAAGAATACTTACTATTTGGTTCGTGTAAATGTTAGAATAATTTGTGAATATAAAGAACTTTATTAAACTAATATTCAAAATAAGTAATTCAAGTCCATGAATACCCCTTTTAACATCAATTTCATACAAAAGGACATTTAATTTCGTACAAAATGGCATTCAAATTCATACAAAGTGACATTCAGTTTTGTACAAAGTGACATTTAAATTCGCACAAAGCGACATTCAAATTTGTACAAAGTAACAATTAAAATAAGGTTGATTAAATCATGATAACTCATAATCTAGTAGTACCAGTTTAGAAGATTTTGGTATCATTCGAATCCTCTCATAGAGAGAATTCGAATAGTACTAAAATTATTAAAATTGGATTACTAGATTATGAGATATCATGATTTAACCAGCCTTAGTTTAATTGTCATTTTGTACAGATTTGAAAGTTACTTTGTGCGAATTTAACTGTCTTTTTGTACGAAATTAAATGTCACTTTGTATAAAATTGAATGTTATTTTGTACGAAATTAAATGTCCTTTTGTACGAAATTAATGTATTCATTAATTTTATTATAATTTAGTGCATTGGTATAAAGAACATCTATTATTTAGATAATCAAAAAAAGCATTTCATTACTACTTATTTTCATTTATTTATAATGATTAGCGCGTGAATTTATTAAGTATTCCAGATAAGTAATTCAAGTTCATGAGTATTCACAATAACTAGCGATAATTATAAAGAAATGAATATTTATTATTTGATTTTGTTTTATTCGTGATAATTTAGCGCGTGAGTATAAAAACATTTATTGAACTAAGCATTCAAAATAAGCAAGTTCATGAATATTTACTATTTAATTTTATTTTGTTTGCATAAAAGTGATTCAAATCCTGATTATTTTTATTATTTAATTTTTGAATATGTGTACTAAAGAATAATTTACAGTAATAGAAAGAAAATTTATTAATTTCAAAATAAGAAATTTTAATCCATCAAATATTCGCGATGATTTAGTGTGAGTATAAAGAACATTTAAAAGAAGCTATTTAAGTTTATGAATATTTACTATATAAACTTTATTTTATTATGTAAGAACTTTATTAATTTAGGTATTTAAATAAATTTACTGATCTAAATATATAAAATAAACTATTCCATATCTATAAATACTTACTATATATATATATATTTGGTTTTATTTATTTGTGATGGTTGGTACAGTATAAAGAACATTCATTAATCTAGGTATAAATCCCAAAAAGAAGTGAGTGGAAAGTTAAAAAGTGCCATTACCATACAAAGAATGCAAGGTCAGAAAGACCATATAACTAGGGCTGTGTTACGAAAATTACAACATTTAATTTTATAGAAGTTTGGTCAGTATTATTTTAACGATGATCTGAATTGTAATTCTTCAATCGCCGAAAATTTTTTTCTCAGAACTATATGAAACTAATTTACCGAAACTTATCTACAATTGTACCTCCCAAACTTTATGCATATTGATATTTAATTAATACGTATAACCTAAAATTTTTATTAAAATTCTTTTATGTCCCGGGTTACTATTTTAATATTTTAAATAATAAATTTTTTTAATATCCGGATTTGCGGGTCAAAATTAAAATTTAATGGTATGAAACCAAAAAAAAGCACTTTATGTGGCGTTATTATATAATATTTTATATAATTTTAGTTATTGTCCGGAGCGTAGACCTTTAGCAAAAAGAGAAAGCTACGGACACAGCATTCACATGATTTATGGGTACTACATTGGCCAGAGTTAGAGTTAACGTCATTGTGTCCATCATAACATCATAACATGTGAAGGTGTTCACCTGTCCGACCACGTGATATACATCATATTCGTTATTGAAATTCTTTTAAATAATTTGCCCCGAATTTATGACAGCTTATCGTTATATTTTCATGCGTATAATTTTTTTTATGCAGTATTTAATTATCAATATTTTTATAATGCAGTAATGTTTTAAAATAATCTTAACTAATAAATTTTAATAATAAAAACGGGTTATATTTATCTTTTAACTTTAATTTAAAATTCAAATATTTACTTACATTTGGCTGAATTTTAATTAAACTGTTTTCAAAATTTTAAGTTAAAAATTATCAAATTTAGGCAAATATTAAGGAATATTATTCAAAAATATTTATAGCAAAAAATTATTATATATATATATTTTTTTACTAATAATAATAATTCGAAAAATTTTATTAAATTCAAGTTTAGTTCCAAGATTCTAAAACCACTTGGATATAATGCTAATGATGTAATGAACTAATTTATATAAGCCTGACTATTGGTTTATCAAAAAACTTTATTTATTACACATTTTAAATCTTTTTATAGCATACAACCAGATAAGATTTTATCAAAGATAACCAGTTATTATAGATTTTAAATTAACGGTTATCTCGAAATCGAAATGTTGTGCTTAATTATAGACTATACGTATACATGATTGACATAATGTGTTTGTACGTATTAATAAAATACGAAGAACTGCATTTGAATTGAATAATCCGCATTATAAACAACCAATCAAAATTTTTAACACGGATATTCAGGAGCATCTAAAGCGGATAATAAGCTTACTCTAAAAATAATTCAAAATTTCCAAAAATAGTTAGTTTAGTTTAGCGGTACGTACGTACGTACGTACAGCATGTTTGAGTATACCAGATAAATTGCGCTGCAAGTCAATTCCATATTAAAATTCTATAATATTTTATGATTATAATTATTATCATTAATTAATAATCGACGTGTTAATAAATAATCAAAGTGTTAATTAATAATCAAAGTGTTAATTAATAATCAAAATGTTAATTAATAATGTCTAATTCATTACGTAGTTGTTTTATACAATATATTCTATTTAACATTACAGCATTAAGGATTTTTTGGCTTTATTATTACAAAAATCATGAAGATTACACTTGTTTTACATCAACGATAATCATTATTACGTAGCACTTGATAGATATCATTAGCATTACATGTCGAAGTGCCATTAGTTATTGTCTGATTTTAAATAATAAACAAGTTTATTTATTAAACAAATATATATAAATTTATAAACAAATACAGTATATATTATATATAATTTTAGAATAAATAATTTATGATTTGCAATAATCTATATGTACTACTATTTAAGATACAATGATAACAATAATAATAATATATTAAAAATTTTTCTAATAATTTTGGTCATGCAAATAAATAAATAATAAAAAAACAAATTATATCACCAATATGCCAATATTTCATAAACTTCAGCAGCGATGTCCGAGTTTTCAGCACATATCATCTGATATTTAGTATTACAAAGTTTAGTTTCATTTGCCATATACTGTCGTACAGCCAATCGTTCACTCCGATTATTAGTCTTTGTAAATATTATAGTCGGCATTTCAAGACTTTCGAAATTGTACCGACTACTAGTGTACACAGCTTCCGGATTAGTTTCATCCGAAAACGGAGAACTATTCGGCAAGCTTTTATCAGCTTCGTTGAATTGTTCAGCAATATCAGAACCGGGAATGTTTACCATACACAACCATTCTCCGAGTGTCCAATAAAGTTCTTCTGCAGTAGGTCGATTCAATTGATCAAGATCCAAACAACGTTCTATTAGGTTGCTATAACATTCTGGAATTTCATAATCAAATTCTGGTTGAATACCATTGCAAATATCAGTAGCAAGATCTAAATTATGAGCACGATTTGAAAATGGATGTTTGCCAAATGCCAATTCCCACATTATAATTCCAAAGCTATAAATATCAGATTCTTTTGTAGGTGGTTGATTTCGTAAGATTTCAGGTGCCATGTAGGGTAAGACACCGTGTATTCCATTATTAATTTGTTTATCATCTTTAAGTAAACTGGGAAGTCTTAAGTCATTCAAAAGAACCATTGATGAATGGATAAGCACGTTACCACTATGCAAATTTCGATGGATTAGATCTTTTTTGTGGATGCGCATGAGACCTATAGCAACACCATATAAGATGTCTAATTTTTTTTTCCATGTTATAGATTCAGGATTTTGTTTACAGTACTTTCTTAAATCACCATCACGCGCATATTGACCAACAATCATATAGTTATTTGTGAAAGGATCTTGTGTTATTCCATAGTATCGGCATACATAAGCACCACTATTATTTTCAGAGGTTAAGAATTTAGAAAACTGAAAAAGCAAAAATATGTTAAATATTTATATACTTTAAATATTATAGAATGTTATTAATTCTACCAAATTTATAATGCCAGTCTGAGCTAACATTAATGGGAAGGAGTTCACTTCACTAACTAATAATCATTGAAGTGACTAGAGTCCCAATATTAATTGGTCAAGAATTATTTTTTGAATTAATTTATATTAATGTACATACCTCATCAAAAAATTTCGGACCAATACCCAAATTATTAAATGATCTTAATACAACATGTTGTTTGTTGCGTCTAACATATCGAGCAGTTTTAGCATCCCATTTTTCGCGTGGACCATCAAGCCAAATAGCTTGATAAACATTTCCATAACCTCCAGATCCAATGAATCGAACTTCTTTAAATTTAGCGAAAGGTATCCATTCTAAATAATCAAATCGACTTGGAGAAGAAAGTTGGGTTTCTAGAATAAACATATCTATATCATCATTACCACTTGACCACGAACCGAATTTCATTTCAAAAATTTTTGCTTGACATGTTGAACACCAATGAATATAATATCCAACCTCGTCAATCGGACTTTCACATGTTGGGCAAGTGCCGGGTAAAATTTGGGAATCTTGATCATCTTCAGATTTAATACTGGTATCTTCATTTTGATCAACATTTTTTTTCGAATCGGGTAATATTGGATCCGTTTGTAAATATTGAGCATCTTGATGCTTAATTTTTGCATCCACGATAGGGTTTGTATTTGCATTAACATTCACCATATATTCATCATTTATAATAAGGTTTGCATTTGCATTAACATTCGACATAGGCATAGGTTCAGCACTCACAACATAGTTTGCATATGCATTTAAGATAGGTTTAGCATTTGAATTAATGATAGGGTTAACATACGCATTCACGATAGGTGATATTGGTTCAGTTCGTTGATAATTCATTTTATGATTTTTTTTTCCAAAATTTGTATCAATCATTTTATCCGAAAAAGCTTGGTCATGGTTATTCCATCTATTATCAGAAGAATTATTTCTTTTATGATCATAACCAATTACAGCATGTCGCCTTTGCTCAACTGAGAGCGGTGTACTCCTATGCCTTTTCCAATTTCCTGTATGATCATAGTCACCATTTCTTATTGGAGATAAAGGACTTGTATAATTAAAACTTTCTCTCGTTTCATGTTGTTTTGTCCATTCTACTTTATGTGGTTTTCGTATATATGAATGTTCTTTACGTTCTTCTTGTTGTTTCTATCATAACAAATAAAAAAGAAAAAAAAAATTTATTATTAATTAACAACGCAATTGAGTATGTGTATTATAAAAAAAAAAGATCAATTACCTTGCTAAATAATCGCAGAACTTTATTAGGAACCATTATTATTATTATTATTATTATTATTTAAATATTCAAAACGAATGTGCTATTTAGAGGAAAGTTCGAAACTCTTTTTTATTTTTGAAAAAAAAACTTTACCATTATTTCAAATTTCTTTATATAAATCTGTTAGGTTGATCGACCTTTTCCATATTAGGACATAATTTATCGATATATAGTAATAGAAGAAATTCATGTTAGCCCAGTAGTGTCTGTGTAATATTTTCGAGTTGTATTTTAATTATAAGATAATTTCGGGATCGTATTATATAATAGTTTAACCGAAAATGTAATTCTGTACGCGTACGACCATACTTCACCGTGTAAGAATTACGTACGAGGACAATATCAGTTCTAACAAACCCAGTTTCAAGATTTTTTTCTGGTGTTAGGGTACGCTATGTAATGTGCTGTATGTTAATCGTTACAAATTAACACTATATGCGTCTATACATTGAAATTATTGGTCAATTTTATTATAGAACTTAAATTGCCGGTTAGGTTTTATACATATTGAGGTCGAAGATGCGATTACCAGAAAATTGGTAAAACAAGTCAAATTATTTCAAAATAGAAATTTACAAAACATTTCAAAATTGGAAAGTAGACTAATACATTGTTCCACAACTGTATTTTAGCCCTGTTATTTTTGGCAGGAAAAATATAACATAAATCATTTTTGTTTCAATTTTATTTTGTCAACAAACATTATAAACAAAGTAGTGCAGTTACAAAGTTATATGCATATATTGCTTTAATGGAGCTATTATTATCGTAATATTTAATGAACCAATTAAGAGTAAATAAAGGGTGTAACCTGAGTGTGCACATCTAATAATAAGGCGTAAAAATTTGTGAGATTGAAAATATTTTGTGATTATGTTTGTAAATTTTACGGTAAAGGTCAAAAAAAGAAATAAGTCATTGAGAATGGTGAAAAAAGTTAGATACCAGCGTCGCCAATAATCGAGAGCGCAGTCATATGACTTTTCGACGTTGATTTTATCACCAATCATTCGACGCACATGCGTAGGGTATTATTATACTTAATGCCGTTGGTATTTTGTTAAAAAAACCCATTTGAGATTGTCTTTAAATTTTTCTGATTCGACCTTTATAATGTATTCGGAGCGAAATCCGATAGTCACATGTTAGGTTCATCCATTTTATCTTGTGTTACAGACATATTTGTATTGACTGCGGGAACGACAAACTCGTAGAATGACAAAACATGTGCATTAGCCATTAATATAAATAAATAAGTGTATCCTGGCAAATTGCATATAAATTATATTAAATATGACCTCATTCGTGAAATTTCTGCCCATGTAATTATTAATAATATGTATTCTGTATGACCTCATTTGTTATTATTTTATTTTTCTCTAATAGTTCGTATTCTCAACTATATATTTTAATTGTTACAATTTTTGTCTAAATTTTTTACATTAATACAACCTAGAAATAAATGTATCTAATTTTGTGCCAAAAAACTTTTCCCTAATGCAGAAAGTTACTTTTTTTGTACGTAGCAAACTTAATTCTGTGCTAAAATAACTTAATGCAGAAAAATAGTTTCTGTACGTAGCAAACTTAAATTTGTGCCTTAATACAGAGATAGTTTCCGTAGCGAATTTAATTTTTTGAGAAGATTGGCTATTTTTTTATAGAAAACCTGGGACACGTTACACAAAACACAAGTTAATTGCTACAATGATAATACAAATTTCGAAGCCATACAATTTGAAATTTATACAAATGCAGAAAAATGTGACTGAAAGCAAATAAAGCAAATAAAATATTAATTTTCTTTATTTGCTTTCGATTTACGAGCTTGCATTTCTTGAGGATCTGTATTTTCAAGTTTAACCTAAACAACGTATTTCTTTTTACTTTGTCAAATCAGTTTATTCTACGTTGTGCAGAGGCAGACTGAAATTTATATTCTACTACGTGCTCATATATTAAAATGTGGAATCTAATTTTGATTGTATTTTTTGTAATCAAATATTGATATTTTCATTTTCCTACAAATTTGAATTAATGTTAATAATGCCTTTATCATTGAAAATTTTACGAAATAAAAATCTCCGAACATTTCTATTGTATTCCATTTTACGATTTCAAAATTTGAAACAAACATGAAATTTCAATACTCCTATTTAGCTTTGAAATGCACTACCCCTTATTGTATTAATAGAGATAGTTTTTGAATATTACTTTTTTTGGATAAAAGTCTCTAATGCAGTCTCATTTGCCATTATATATTCATTATAATCTCTTTATAAATATTTTTATAATAGTTTCTAAAGTTATTTTTACTGTTACATATATCGTATTTATAGTACAAGACAGTATAACCCAACAGTCTAGATTAACTTTTTAAAAAAATTTTCTTACTAATACGTATACGTAGCTACAATGGCTAAATTGCTTTTTTCTTTTTTTTTTTTTTTTAAAAAAAAAAAACTATACGTATTTAATTTAGATCGTTATTAATCAAATAACAATATTATCCAATCACATCCCAAAATTTGACGGGTTTATGTCAGCGTCGCGTGATGTCGAGGTTCCAGTATTCTTATGATTAGTAATCATTATTACTAATCATAAGCTGGGTTTGAATAATGGAACCCCGACATCACACGACGCGACAATTAATGTCCAGGATTTTGATTTTCGTGATTTTGACATAGACCCAAATTGATTGCTTTATACTATACAATTAGATTAAATTTAATAAAGCAAAATGTATTTTTATATATTTGTAAAATATATTTATTATTTGTATTTGGATTTTTTTTTTTTTATCAAAATAATTATACTATATTGAGTTAGTATTTCAATACAATAATACTATATATAAAAATTTGGTAATATCTACAGTTAACTCTCTTTATTCCGACCAGCATGTCTGCATGATTTTTACTATACAGTATAAAAGTTTTTAAATATTCGGTTTTAAAAGGGTTATTATATCTCAAATCCGAACTTATTAATAAAAATTATAAATTTTCTAAAGTTTTTTGTTCAGTTTAAAGTTAATGAGCCTGTTTAGAATGACTGTATTTGCTATAGTGATTTGAACCAAGAAAAATTTTCTTAATCGGTTAACTGAACCGAATTATTTCATTCAACCGATTGTCAACCAGTTAAAACTAATATCATACTACCTTCGAAAATTCTTGGAGCTTTGCTCAAATTTTAGCACGTATGAATTGTGTCCCAGGTTAAACATGTTGTCGATCTCGAAGATCCTATGAAAAATTTTTTAAACTTCTAGCAAGGATTTACTTAATAAAATTTGGTAAAATTTTTTTATTTTTAATTCTAAATATTCGTAGAATTAAAATAAAACAAGTTTATGAAATTTTGTCTAGTGGATATTGAGAAACAACTGCCAAAGATTTTTTTTTAAAAAAAAACTTGAAATATCTTGAAAAAAATACTAAAATCGATCAAATTTTCTTTTTTGAACTTACAGTATAATGAATATTTATCAACAACCAACTATCCAGATC